GATAAAATATATCGTTGCTCATTTTGCTTTAATTATGTATTGTTGGTAATTTTACTATAAATTGCAATTGTTGATAATTTTACTATAATTATGTATTCTTGGTTGGTTAAATTTGTTTAGCGCCATATCAACCTCAATGACTTATTTAATACCGAAATCTAAATATTTTGAATACAATTTTATGACTTTAAGTAAATATATTTTGAAAGCAATTGCATACCTTCATCTATTTTCTATATCTTTAATTCTGAAAATGTGTCTGTGTATGTATGTGTGTGTGTGTGTGTGTGTGTGTGTGTGTGTGTGCGCACGCGCGTGTGTGATCGGATGTTGTTTATGTATTTCCACAGTTCATCCGATATCGAAGAAATTTTATTTGTTTGATAGATAATTCTTCAGTACCGGTTTTGAGTTTTGGAGTTTTGGAAAAAAATTACAACCTTGAAGGGTAAAAATCGAAAAAACTGATTTTTTTACACTTTGCGCAAAAATCAAAGACAAAATTTAATGCCTGTAAAAAACAGCGTACAACCAGTTCAGAGAGTTTAAACCTAACGCAATGGAATATTAGAATTAGAATATATATATATATATATATATATATTATAAATAAATTTATCGTCTATTAATATTATGACGGTCTATGGAAGAGGTTCCTTCCTTGCAAGATTGAGAACGCAAAAACGGCCCTTTTCATGACCACACCTATTCAAATTGTTACACCGCTATTTAGGGACGTTCATTAGTTGACACCAATTGTTACTAATATAAATTTTCTGGTGGGCTGAATCTAAACTTAAACTGCTTCAAATGAACGGCAAACATTCCTAGTAATGAAACAAACACCCGGTCGAAGGCAGGTTATACTGCTAGTCTATAAATAAAATATATTATTGGTAATCTTACTATAAAATGTATTAGTGGTTATTTTGCTATATGTATGCATTGTTGTTAATTTTACTATAAAAAATTGTAGTTATATTTTTATAGTGTTTTGTTTTGTTTTGGGCGTTCACTATTTTCCCATAGGTGGGACCCTAACAACCGGGCCCAGGTTGGACCTGAGAACAACAGCAATTAAGAAATGTTTACTCGCTCATCAAAACTTTCAATTGTTAAAGGAATTTTTTCGTTTGCGCTCAACTAATTTTTAGTAATAGGAAATTGCAGACAAAAATAATGGTTACTACGAACACTCTAGAATATAAGATTGTTGCCCGGTTAGAAATAGAGAACCCTATTAAAGAGAAATGAATATTTTTAAAATTATTTTATGACAGCTTCTTTAAAAAAAAGAGTTTATTTTTCAAGGCCAAAATAACATTTATATTACGTTTTCTTGAACTCCTAACTTACATAAGAATTTTGAGAAGGTAGCTAAAATTATTTCTATACAAACAATGAATTAAGTAAGACTTTATTAACAGAAACAGTGTTTATATATGATCATTTTTACAAATTTGAATAAGGAATAACACTTATGAAAAATTCATTCATGCTTTTGAATATTGTTATGCAAGGTAACTGTACGCTGTAAACGCCATTTGCTAGTAATATCTAAAAAGGCTGGCCCAGCAGAGGAGTTTCAAAATAATATTATCTTAAGCCAATACCAGTGGGAATACCCGTAGGTAGTACCTCCGCGTCGGGTGGGATTTGCATTATATTACCTGGCACCTGAGGCGTTTCCAGTAGGGGAAGTGCCGATGGAATTTGATCAATTTTTGAACGGCTTCCGAAATCCTACACTAAACTAGACCCCGTGTCCCTTTTTGTTACTTGGGCGGACGAAAAATGCGTGCAGGCTGATTTATTGACTGCCTTTGAGCTGAGATCCGTTCTTCAACCCGTTGACAGGTTTCTGTTTTGAAGACTGTCTTGCACCGGGGATTCCAAACCTTATAGCGCTAAAGAGTGAAATATAGACCCATATGCACGCGTAAATATGTAGGACTATATATATATATATATATATATATATATATATATATATATATATATATATATATATAAATAAATTACAGACATTATGTCTGCTAATTTTTAACAAAATCCGTTCATACTCACGAATAACCTTCCGTGTATTGATGTTAAAGGATGAGATAAATGTGCTATAGATGTTTATATTTCTTTTATTTTCATTTCCCAAGTACTTTCGATCTTCTTCCAAGATCATCTTCAGGGCTGCAAGTAGTACAAAAATATATGTTGTTCATTAGTATAAGTATTTATACAAAGTTGTTACCATAATTTTTTCATTATACTTTTAAATGCAAAACGGTTGACAATGTGCTGGGCGTTCATTATAACACGAAAAAAAATATCCATTATGGAATTTCTTCTTCTGTTTTATAATGTCATTGTGACGCTCGCATTAAAACATGAAAAAACTGTTTCTTTACAGGCATTTCATAACATTACTGCAGTATTCATAGTTGATTCTGTTCAGTGCCGGCTTTAGTTTTTTTTTTTAATGTAAATTACTTCTAGTATTTGTAATCTAGATTTGTTGTTTTCATGGTGTAGGATAGTTGCGTTGTCGATTAGTAATATTTTATATTGTGAATGTGAACAGGAATGTTGTTGTAGATGTCTCGCAATGGACGAACAGTTTTTTCACGCTTTAATACGCGTGTGACCTAAACATTTCACCTGTAAAAAGTTGTGATATTGCCTGAGGCTATTTTTTGTAAGAGATGAAGCATTTCTACTATATCTTCTTTTTACCTCGACTATAAAACTGCGAGTCTGATTCTCTTCTCATGTATATTTTTATTATGTTAAAAGATTTCTTTTTCGAAAAGACATTTCAGAAACATATGTAAAATGATTTTCGCAAGCATTAAAAGAACTATTTTTAATATCAACTATTTTTGTGCGTAGTATGATCGGTTCCCCAAGTTTAAAATGGCAGCTGATTTAAAAAAAACAAAAAAAAAAAAAAAAAAAACAGAAGCTACATTCTGTCAAAGAATGGCTTATTAATTTTAACGTCTACGAGTCGAAACGTCTCTTTGTTAATCGTCTGACAGTAGCCTATCTGCCTTCCATCGGCTACCGCTAACTTCCAGGTGAGTGATATCACTGCTGATATGAAGTGGAAAGATTATATTGACTCACTTGTCAGGTCTGCTGCTCGGAAACTTATTTCTCTGTGCTAGACAATTTTTTCTCGACAGTATTTCTCTTACATATTTACAGGTCTACCATCCGTTTAAGCTTTGAATATTGCTACTACATATGGTTTGATGTTCTTGTTATATATATAGATATCATTGATGAAAACCAAAGAAAAATCTGCAATGTCTTTGGTCCTGACCTGGCATCTTGGCTAGTTATTTTCCTACCGCGGCAATCTACGTTATTTTTTTTTTATAAATACCTTAATGGTAATTGTTCTGAAAAATTCTCCTCTATGGTACATAGACTTTATGAATTTAAGCGCGGTACTAGATTGGCAGCAAGGTCTCATTATTTTACAGAAATACTTATATGAAACCGCCTGTTCTCTGCTAACAGTTTCTTTTCTCACACTTCTCGCTTGTGGAATTATCTTCTAGCTTTTTGCTTTCCAGTCGACTTTGATCTCCAAAGATTTAAATGCAATGTCAATAATTATCTCCTGTCTTCATAATTCTTGTATTGTTCTCGCTCCTTAATAATGTTTTGTTTCTTATATTTTTTCTCACTCAGTACCCCCTGCGTTAAGGGCAGGTGGCCGGGTAGTCGGAACATTCGCGTTCGAATCTCAACCTGATCGATTTGTCAGGAAGGAGACTTCCTGATGTTATCGGGTTGGAGGAGTCGATCCAAGCGTACGGCACCCCTGGAAAGTGCCTGAAAACCATAGCACGGGTTGATCCAAGTGTGTGAAATTGGGTAGACGGAACACTTGTGGACCGTAGATAGCGGTGCTAGCACGAAGTCACAAGTCATCGTGGCTGAGGGGTTGAGCGTGCTGGCCTTGTTCAAATTGTTGATCAGACTAGAAAACACGCTCTTTCCCAGAAACTGTAATTAATGTCTGCTCAGCATAGATGCAGTATAAACCACAGGTGGGCTCTGTGGGTGTTGAAGAAACACAAATACACCTGAACAAACGAATTTATTGTAAAAAAAAAAATGAATTTTTGCTATGCGTAGTTACAATAATAGCAACCTCAATGAGAAATCGGAAAGCAAAAATTCAAATTGCAGTCGGGTTGATTACATTCACTTACGTGCAATTACCCTTGGGAAATGTATGAATCGATATCCTCTCCCTAGCCATAGGTTAAATAGTAGGATTTGTATCTGTAAAAAAATCATTGTTATTCTCAAAAAATGTTGATGCAATATTCTCTCACAAAATAAAAAAAGAATAGCTATTACAATCCAAAAGCATGGTTCGTCTTTAAATAACGCACAAAAGGTTGATAAAACGTAACAAAGCAAATCAATCAATTTCATTATGATAACTCACAACAATCTAGATGTATTTCCCTGCTGTTTTCGGTTAACTTTCAGACTGAATCCTTTCTTTAACTGAACCGTTTTAGCACTGTTCAGTTATTGAACTGACTCCGTGTATATGCTTATTATCCGTCCCGGGGATTAAACTCACATTTGCTATGCCAACAAATTCGCTAACCAATGCTGTAATCCTCGACAACATTTTCCAGATGATAGATTTGGAAATTGGAACCTCAAATAATGTCTTTCTTGTCTACTCTGCTTCCGTTTGATCCATACAGGAATCTTATTAAAAACGTATGATCGAACGACTGAAGTTCATGATTCGACTTATACACGAAATCATTCGGTTGCACAAATTAAAAAAAATCGACTCATACACGAAACCAAATTATGAATTCAGCATTTAATGTTTCAAGTTTAAGAGACGACTTCTCTTTAGGATTAATTTATGTATGCATTTGATAGGCACGTGAAAAGGAAGAAATAATGAATTGATAAAGAGAAGAGAGGAATGAAAGAATAGAAAGAAAAAAAAACGAAGAAGACTATATGAAAGAGAGAGCGAGAGAGAGAGAGAGAGAGATAAAAAGGTAATACTTGTCCAATATGAAGAAAACAAAGAGAAGCGATTTTATAGAAAAGAAAGGAAAAAAAGAAAAGAACGAGGGAAAGATTGAGGCGTTGAAGGTTGGTGAAAAATAAGAAAAAGGGAAAGAAAACTTTAGAGGGAGTAAAAATAGAGAAAGAAGGAAAGAAAAAAAGAAGGAAGGAAAAAAAGAAGGAAGGAAAAAATGCATGTAATCTTAGGTGTAATATAAAACGAAAGAAAAAAAAGAAAGAAAATTAGAACAAGTAGACTTCGTGTAAAAAGGAAAAAAAGAAAGGAAAAAAAGAAAGAACGGAATGTAAGTTTAGTAAAAAAAAATGAACAAAGAAAGAAAGAAAGAGAAACAGCGACAAAAAGAAAGAGTAAAGGACTTAGTGAAAGAAAGAAAGGAATTAGTGAAAGAAAGAAAGAAAGAAAGAAAGAAAGAAAGAAAACATTTAGTGAAAGAAGATATGTCCTAGTGAAAAAAGAATAAAAGACTTATTGAAAGAAAGAAAAGAATTAGTGAAAGAAAGAAAGAAAATGTAATTCAAATAGGTTTATTGGAAGACAGAAAGGACATTGAAAGAAAGAAAGAAAGAAAGAAAGAATAAGTGACTTAGTGAAAGAAAGAAAGGAATTAGTGAAAGAAAGAAAAGACTTAGTGAAAGAAAGAAAATGTAGTTCAAGTAAGCTTATTGGAAGAAAGAAAGAAAGAAAGAAAGAAAGAAAGAAAAAGGGCACAGTGAAAGAAAATATAAAGAACTTATAAAAAGTCCTTCCTTTCTTTCTTTTTTAGTTCAATTAAACTTAGTAAAAGAAAGAAAAAAAGAATGAAAAATTAAAACAACTAAGTTTAGTGAAAGAAAAAAAGGAAAGAATAAAGAAAAAAAGATCACAGCAAGTCAGCTTAGTGAAAAGAAAAGAAGAAAAAAGAAAGGTAGAAAAACGAATAAAGCAAAGCAGCTTAATACAAAAAAAAAAGAGAAGGAAAAATGCATAATCGAGTATTGGAAGCGGAGCCAAATGAAGAAAAAAAGAAGACAAAAACAACAAAACCAAAATCTGTAAGTCAGCAAAAATAAAAGCCACAAGAACGATAGCAAAAATGAAAAACATCAAAGAAGGAGAAGAAATTGCTTCAAGCAGAACAGTACTTAAATTTCTTTACCGATTAAGTCTGATGTCATTTAATAAGCCTCAAGTCTCCGCCGAAGGCAACAACTTCCATTCTTTGCAAATCTCGATTAATAAACTTCCTTGTTTCGCTTGAAGATGACTCATTTCAGGCCATCGAATTCTAACAGAAAAACTGTTCACCCTTTCATTCTGAACTCTTCAAAATACATTATTTGTTTTCTCTTTATCATTGTACACTAATTACTTATTGCATATCTGTATATATATAAAGTTGTAGCCTCTGTCTGTCTGTTTGTTTGTTATAGAACTCCTCCTAGGGTTTTGGAGATAGACATTCATAACCATATATATTCTAAAACTTCATTACCCACGTTACTTGGACAAGCATATTTCATTTTGATCAAAACGGGTACCCGGGATCACAAACCTCCCACTAATTTGTTTTCCCTTTGTTAGAAATTAAATTTAAGTTTCAACAAAGGAATGACTCCTAGGGTACTTAGATAGCTGCATTTTATTTTGTTTAAAGGGCATTCCCGGGGGCAGAAACTCCCACTGACTTTTATCCTGAGATATAAATTAAATTTAAAACAAGGGAATGACTCCTGTCCAAAATATAGAAGGAGAAAGCCTGAAGATGGAGGTCAGAGGAGCAATATCAAAATGAAACAATATGGACGTCAAATTGAGCAAAAAATCACTAATCAGTAGGTACTGCGTTACAATACATATTCACCAGACTATTCAATGCATTTCAATTCATTCAATCAAGTATTGCATCAAATACATATCAAAGAGGTCAGAACAAGCTGTTTTTGCACTGCCCACCCACACTGAAATTTTTTCCCTTTTGATTTAAATCAAAATTAAATTTGAACAAGGGAATGATTCCTATTCAAAATATAAAAGGCGAAAGCCAGAAGATGGAGGTCACACCGGCAAGATCATAGAGTGATATTTCTCCGCAATTTAAAACACTGATTTAAAATCAGTCATCACTTTCTTATAAAAATTGTGTGACCCACAGGAATATACAGGTAATCCGACTCAGTCAGTTATGTGGCATATGTGATACACGCTTAGGCGATCATGTATGTGTCGATACATGACTGACGAGGCATATGTTTTTCCGCAGCAGTTTGTCTATCCTTTCTGCGGTAGACCACTTGCCATCCAAGGTTATAGAACCCTATCCGTCCTGCTATTTACCCATAGCTGGGGGGGGGAGAAGAGGAGGATTCATACCTCTCCCAAGGCTAATCGCACGTAAGTGAATGTAATGGATTTGACTGAAATTCAAACTCGGCTCATTGATTCCTCAATCCGAGCCGCTATCCATTACTCCACCAAAAATTGCGTATGGTATAGCTTAACTGTGCCGCGAAATATTGTTATGGCATACATATATGTGTGTGTACGTGTGAAAGGAGTACACACACACACACAGACACACACACACACACACGCACACACACACACACACACACACACACACATACATATGTATGCTGTAACGATGCCAAGGAGTACAGCATTAGTATTTAAATAAATGAATAAGTATTAAACTTTTTTTTCAAATAATTCTTTTCACTATTGCTCGATTATGTTATTTTAAATACTTTGTTTTAATATTCCTTAAGAAGAAATGAGAGTTTGTTTATCGCACATTCAACCAAACATTGAAGAAAAAACAAACAAAAAAAAAAAAAACAGGCAAACGTTTCAAATTTAAATAAGTTGCGTAAATAGTTGAACAAAAACATTGAAATAAAAATAAGTTCATATTTGTGTGTATTTTTAAAACCTAACATTGAAATATATAGCCTTCAAACATTTGCTAAATGTGCCGTAAGATAATCGATAACTAACATCCATTAGACATGGCAGGTGGAACTAGAACAGTCTACACCAGTGAGCGAAATAAAGTGTTAAGTTCGACATTCCAACCACCTAAAGAAGGCAGGAGCGTACAACGGCCGAAACGTTGTGATAAAAATGGCAACAAAGATATGGACGATAGTCCGAAAATGTAAATAGTGATAAATTAGTGTTATTACTACGGAGACAGGCTGAAAAGTTAGTAGATTAAATGTTGTGGATTCAGTGAATGGAATCCTGCACAAATAAAGAAACAACGCCAGTAATTGAGATGGAAATATAAGTGTATTAAACGTAAGAATACAGACTTGAAGTGAAGATTAGTAGTCCAGGAATGCGGGTTAGGATGTGCAAGTCTCTGTAAGTAAAGCAGTAATCATCTCTCTCTCTCTCTCTTTCTCTCTCTCTGGACTTTTGTATAACTTTCTGAGAACACCCTGTGTCTGTCTCCGTATCTCTTTGCCTGTCTCAACGTATCTCCACGTATCTCGATATTTAATAGTCCACCCACGAGGAAAGTATGTGGTACAAGTTCGAGTTTAACGTGGGTTTCTCCGAACCCGTAGGTCCAGCCCAAAAATATACCCCCTTTGAACCCGCATAAGGGGGCTCGGGAACTGTCTACCTCCCCGGACGAAAGTTTGCCTATCGGAAAAGCTTCGTCCTGGTTCCTCTCTGCCAAAGCAGAGAGTTTGACAGACGTCGCACACAGTCAGAGACTGTATCTCGACGTATCTCAGTATTTAATAGTCCACCCACGAGGAATATATGTGGCACAAGGCCGAGTTTAACGTGGGTTTCTCCGAGCCCGTAGGCCCTGTCAAAAATATATATTCCCTTTGAACCCGCATAAGCGGGTTCTGGAACTGTCTCCCTCCCCGGACGAAACTTTGCCCTTCGGCAAAGCCTCGACCGGGTTTCTCTTTGACAAAGCAGAGAGTTCGACAGACGTCGAGACTGTATCTCGACGTATCTCGGTATTTAATATCCCACCCACGAGGAATATATGTGGCACAAGGCCGAGTTTAAAGTGGGTTTCTCCGAGCCCGTAGGCTCGGCCAAAAATATACCCTTTGAACCCGCCTAGACGCATTCAGAGCCTGTCTATCTCCCCGGACGAAACCCTGCCCTTCGGCAAAGCTTCGTCCGGGTTCCTCTCTAGCAAAGCAGAGAGTTCGACAGACGTCGAGACTGTATCTCGACGTAACTCAACAGCAGGTATTCTCTCTCTCAGTATAAGTATTCTTTGGACGAGTCCATCTTACGTAAAAAGAGGAGAGCCCCACAACACTAACCATGGTCCCTCATAGAATGTGACCAAATTAGGTTTATTTTTCAACATCCACCCCCCTTGCGGACCATATACTTCTTCCATGGATATTACAGTGCTTGTATCCCAACCTTTTATTCTTTTGTTCAAAAATTTACCAACCGCAGATATGACGTCAATATCGCTGCAATACTGGTTCCCAAGCAGATGTTTTTTTTTTGTGTTGCGGAACAGATGATAGAACAGATCTGGTAAAATCTGGAGAGTAGAAAGCAAGTAGTTCAAATCCACAGTCTAGCAGACATTGGGACCAAGAACTTATATGCTGGAGGATTGTCCTGATGATAAGTTGGCATAGTACTCTCGTTTGATGGAGTGAACCTTTTGAAGATAATCAGAATCTCTTTCTCATCCCAAAATGCCGAAGCCATCATTTCCTGAAAATGAAACGACCTTGACCTTCTTTCTGGTACAAAGTGTTGGATGCAATGAACATGCTGGGTTGGGAAACGTTCAAAAAAAAGTTGGATCTTCTGCAAACAATGTCAGATTTTCCTGTGATGGTCATCAGCCTGATGTGCTTTTGATCAGATGTCGAAAGACGTGGCAACTATCATACAGAAACCTTCGTCATGCCAAGTCCATTGTGAACAACATTCCAAACTCTCCCATGAAATATACTAATAGCATTGGCCATTTGATGTATAGCCAAACGCTTGTCTTCCATCATCATGTAGTGAGCACAATCAATGCTTTTCTCTGTGATGACAGTGTAGTTATAAAGAAAAGAAAAATGTGACTGCCAACATAGAGTAGCAATAAACGTCTGCAATAGATTTCTGTCTCTCAAACGAAACATTTGTAGCCAAATCACAGTTCAAACGATAGTCCGTCGTAACAGTCCAGCAGACAACGTAGAAACGACATCATGGGGTCACACATCAAACCTTCACATGTCACCAGCAAAAACGCGTATTCGTCAACCAAGCTCAGAAAAACCAATCTCCCACATACGCTTTTGGTTACCGAGAGATCTTTCTCATTGCTCACGCTATTCGGGGAAGGGAAGAACATTAGCATAGATTCTGGTCCTTAAAGTAGATTTTTGCTAACTACTTTTAGGCAATTTTTCTTCGGCAGATCGCACACAAAACAGGGACTATTTTTCGAGGTAGCTGATTATCTTTTTCACTACAGACAGTTACAGGACGTCCAGGAATAGTGTAATCTTCAAGACGCTCTCTTCCCCTCCTAAATTCAGTTAACGACATTTGCCTTTTTAACAAAGCTAAACTATTAACTTATCATGTAATCATTGTAGACGAAACCCATTTACTACAGGTATTTGATAACACCATGACGCCAAATTTTGTCAATTTTCAAGAGAAATCGATACTAGTTACATTTGAAGACTACTTTGAACGATCAGGTATTGGTTTACCTGGAACAAAACAAAACAATTATTCATAAGATGAGTTGATATTAATGCATGCAACATTTCACGGTTGTAGCATCACTTTAGAATTAGACTATGGATATTGAAGCCCATCCTTGTACTTTTGAAGACATTGAACAATCAGACGTCAGTTTACCTAGAAAGAAAAAATGCAGTTATTCATAAGATGCATTGAAATTAATGCATGCAACATTGCACGGTTTTAACATCATATCAGAATTAGCCTATGACCTTTTAAGTCCATCCTTGTACTTTTGAAGAATTTGAATAATCAGACGTCAGTTTACGCGGAAAGAAAAAATGCAGTTATTCATAAGGTGCATTGAAATTAATGCATGCAACATTGCACGGCTGTAGCATCACTTTAGAATTAGC